GTACAGATTAACAAAGAATTAATTCAGTCGGACAATTATAAAAAGAATTGATTAAAACTGCTGATTAGTTCACAGTTTTAAACAGCACTTGAATATAGAACCTAATTCTATTTCACCATTGTTATAAATTCTGATGATAAATTAGTTTTGTTTTCACACTTCAACTGAAATCTAAAAACTATTCTGTATTGTGTATTTCTATTGATTTTTTAGAAAAACAAAAAATATTAATCTGATTCAAGAATTCTAAGTACGCTTTATGAACTCGTAATCAATAATATAGAAATTCTAATTACATATATTGTACAGAGCTGAATGTTTACTATGTAACAATATACGAACAGTAACATAGCATTCTCTTTAACAAATACTCCAGATAAATAAAAAGAAATTGAAACCATTGACTAGTTAATTCATTTTACTCATTAATTACTGACAAAACATTTTAGTTTCTAGGGAAACAGTTTTCCCAATAATATGTCAACAAGTAACATTATACTTGCCCAAGTTAGAATATACATATTTGAGCCGCGTCACAACAAAACAGACATAATGGGTTTGCGATCAGCATGGATTCAGACCAGCGAGATCTGCGCAAGTTCTGATAGACCATCGTGTTCGTATCAGTTCTCTACATAGTATATGCCGATTTGTTAAGCAAACACACATGGTTTTGATCAGACTGCGCGGAATCATGCTGGTCCAACCATTAGTGTGGTTTGTCATTACAATGACAAAATTTGGTGCTAAGTTTCAAAAAACATTCAAGGTTCTTTGATGTATGTAAAAATTCAAATCTATTCAGGTTTCTGACCTATGGACTCTTAAGCTACAAATGTATCATCTAAAAGGTAAATTTAAAACATAAAATACAGTAACAAAAATAATAAAACAGAATATTGATATAAAACTGAAAGAAAAATCTTATCAATAGATTTCCATTAGAAACATTTTAAAAGCACTAATGATATAAACCTTATTTCTATTTAAATTTCATTGTATAATTCAAGGTAAAGATTAGTTTGTCACACATGATAATGGAAATTCATATAAAAACTATTCTGTATATGGTACTTTGCTATGATTTTATTAGAAAACAAACAAATATTTTACTGATTACAAACATCTCTATACAACTTTATAATCTATTTATATATAAGAGTTATTGCTTTTACATATATGTGTAATGGTACTCAATTTACTAGTGGTAAAACAAAACAACAATAACATAATTCTTTAACAATTTAACAAATAACTCCATATAAACAAACCAAGAAATTGAAAACCCATTTCTTTTTAGATACCGGTGACAATTGACTAGTTAATTCATTTTTACATCAATTAATTTACTGACAAAGAAACATTTTAGTTTCTAGGGAAACAGTTTTCCTCCAAATAAATGTCAACAAGTAACATTATACTTGCCCAAAGTTAAGAATATACACTATTTGAGCCGCGTCACAACAAAACAGACATAATGGGTTTGCGATCAGCATGGATTCAGACCAGCTTGCGCATCTGCGCAGTCTGATCAGGATCCATGCTGTTCGCTATCAGTTCCTCTACTTGTTATACCGTTTGTAAGCAAACAACATGGTTCTTGATCAGACTGCGCGGATCCATGCTGGTCGCAAACCCATTATGTTGGTTTTGTCATTAACTATGACAAAAATTTGGTGCTAAGTCATTCATATTATAAATTACAGTCATGACAATTCAAACAGATAGTTAACTTCAAACATGTTCAGCAACAAATGATTAAATGATTTCTTAGACATTTGAGAATGTAAAGTTAAACATTTATATGAAAAGAAAATTGTCATGGCTGAACAGTGAAATAAATCCTGAAAATGAAATTATTAACATAAACCCTGAATATGAGTTGTGTAACACAATACACAAAAAGTTTTCTACATGTCATGTGTGGCTGATGTAATTTATGTTAACAATAGTGGGAGAATAAAACGTAACAAAACAAATAACCTTTTTATAAAGGAAGTTTCAGAAAACACAGGGTATCTTTACATTCTGGACACAACACTAGATATGAAACCAAACCTTGCGATTATTTATGGCACATGATAAGACTAAGGCAAGAGTAAGCAAGAGCTGTCAGTAGGACAGCTTGCTCGACTATTCTCAGTGCTTTATAGTAAAAACAAAAACCTTGACATTGTAGAATTTTTTTAAGTCCAAAAAGGGCAATAATTCTGTCGAAAATCCATGTCAGAGTGATGGGCCTATGACAGCGGACTATAATCATGCTCTATAAAACATGTGTGAAGTTTTAACCCATCTCCTTAAGTAATAAGATACCAACAACATAAAACTTAATCAAAGATAGAAGCAGACACCTGGGGTGAGTATAATAGCTTCCCATATTCTTCGAATAATCAAGCTAAAAACATCATCTGATTTTGGCTTCTTTCTACAACAAACATTGTTAATTTTTAATTATTATTTCTCAAATACAAATATACAAGCATTTTTATGTAATTAAAACAATGAAGATCAGCAAAATATACTGAGAGTAAGCTTATATTTATATTCAAACTTACTCCAGAACAAAACAGAATAAATTGTTCTTTTGGCCTAGAAATAATATTCAATGGAGTAAAAAGACATTTAGAATTTAAAAAAATGGATGAATGGAAACTGATGAATGGCAACTAAACTATTAAAAAATGACTTACTATCAAAGGAATACAAATGAAATGTTATAAAAAGTAATAACTATAAAAACATCCTGTTGATTTATGAAGACATTACACGATTAAGAAAATAATTGCATTTTTTTAAGTAAAAGAAAGTTGTAAAAAAGTTATTACAAGAAAAAAAGATTATATCAAAGGAGAAATAAAAAAGAATAAAATAAACTCCATAGGTATGTGGTACCTAAAGATGCAGATTTTACCTTCATAATAATAAGGTTTTTACATGTCATTGATATACATGTATTATGCTGCCACATATCTTAAATACTGACTTGTAATTTTATTCTAACAGACAAAAAAACCACAACAAACGTTAACTGACAAAAAAAAAAGGTTTTTTTTTAAATGAACATTTCATTCCATTTGTTTTGTTTTTTAAATTATAAGACAACTAAATAGCAAAATAAACATGTGACTATACAGCTAATTCTAAGAGACAATTTAAGGATATAAAATTATACAGATATATAATAAAACAACATAGAGAAAATAAATAAAGATATACAGACACTTGATATACTGCTATACAGATCTTAGACTACATGTACTTAAATATAATTAACATGCTTAATTAAAAAATGCAGAAATAATTCATATATGTAATACACACATTAACAAAACTTTCCAGACTGACAATCTGGTATTATCAAAGCATCAATTTTATTTTTTAACAATACACATGCAGTTTATAGTTAGCAATTAACAAAACAACAAATATTTTCATGAAAGCAAATTATCGGCAAGCACCAAAGCAATTTCCTGAAAATTTATCCCTTACATTGTATTTACATGAATAAAAGTAATTATACATTTCAATCACAACAAAGTATATAAGTTAAGCCTTTTTTTCTTCTTCTAAAATGTGCTTCCTATACTTACAAATGCTGGTAAGATATTTGAAAACATGGAACAGATTCTTAAAAGGTTTTGATGCCCCCCCCCACCCCACACAAACATCACACCTCTCCCAGCTTCCTTGCTTAAGAACAGGCTCTGCTTATATTAAAAATTTGTTCACGAGGACATTTTCTTTATAATTTATAACAAAAACATAAAAGTAAAAGATTCATATTGCATTCAGAGATTACAATATTGCATAATATTGCAAAATTCTACACCTCAAAAATACATATAACAATAAACAGTACTGTTTGCATGCCTTTTATCTAAATTACAAAATCTCAGGTAAACTTCTATTGAATAAATGATTTAAATGTGAAAAGGTGTAATTAGGATAAAAATATAAAAGAAAGAGATTCAAAAAGTAAGAGAAATGCAATAAAAAAAGTTCAAAAGTGTTATTGTTCTTTTAAGTTTTAATAATGTTTTGATTTAAAAAATAATATATCCCAAACAGTGATTTTATTGCTAAATAAAATCACTGTTTGGAGTTCGGATGTGAGGAATTTTATTACGAGGGCATAGCATGTCACATGGTTACATTACATGTCTAAATATAGAATTTCAACAGTGATTTGACTGCATAATAACCCACACTTTCAGTCCTTCAATGTTCAGTAGGAAAAAATGGGGGTCGTGTTTTGATTAAAATATAATACCTCTTACTAATGAGTTGTCAAAACATTTACAACATTGAGCAAAAATGCACAATACTGTCAAATATTTAAGAAATTACATTTGATCTTAAATGCAGACATACTTGTCAATTCAAGGGTCATAAAGATACAGAAGTGGGCTATAATTGAAACAAATCATTTAAAATTCTTTTTAAATAGAAAATGTACATATTGATCACAGTATGGCTCAAATCAATGCCTTTATAAAGAGACAAACACTTTGACCCATTGAATGACCTTATTTAAGGGTGACCTCAAAAACTACATGAATATATATATATTTCCTGCAAAATTTCTTAAGAACACATTTTAAATGTAAAACTTCTTTGAAAAGCAATATTATCTGATCAGATCTTTCACCAAATATAAACCAACAGTGAGGCCCTGTAAAATAAAAATATTTCAAAAATTGGTGGGGTGAAATATAAAACATGAAAAAAAAATCTACAAAAACATTTCTATTCAATGAAGAGAAAACATCATTGGAAACAAAACAAGAAAAAAAAAAGATATTTAAAATAAATACTGGCACTGCTTACACTACTCTATATTTAATTATTCAGGTATCCAATTATTCAAACTTATTTCCAAGGAAACAATCTACACATTAAAAAAAATTCTTACAAATTGCAAAAAAAAATAAATAAGTTTATTACATAAGGCCCGAGAATACTCAATGCAACAGTTTTAAAAGAGATATGATCTAACTTTGGACATAATGAGATATAAGTATGTATACATGACAAATGGTGTTCTTAAAGATATGTTGGAATGAATGAAACCTCTCTGTAGAAAATTTCACAAAACTATCATGATTCTGTATGAGTTTTAAGACAGGAACTGTCCTGACCTTTTATAACACATTTTACAGATAGTAGTATTGTTTTTTTTTTCTCGTAAACATCATATACCAGTTATGTTACCATTACATACCAGTTATAGTTCTCTATCCAACATATTACATGTACTGGTCTATACAAAATTCAACCAGTACTAGGTCTCTATCAAAATTTCAAAAAGGACTAGTACTGGTCATCTGTCAAACAGTCAACAAAAAATACCATACTGGTCCTTTATCAAAGATTCAACATAATCAGTACTGTTTGTGTGTCAAAAATTCAGCAAATACCAGTACTGGATCTCTTATTAACCTGTTCCTTCATATTAATTTACAGAAAAAATACACAACTCCTTTCCACTCAAAACATAATAAATATCTCGTTCTCCTATAACACCCAGCTGAAAAACCTACATGCATTGTCTATTTTGATATAAATTATACATGTACCATAAAAATAATAGATGAAAATTATTATTGTTTATAAATGAAGTTATATTTTTAAAAAAAAATTATTCTGGTTGAAGTGAATAAATAATTAATTTAATATCATTAATAAAAAACGTGTTAGCTTATTTCTAAATTATTTTTTTACACAAGGAGTAATTAACTTATCATAATCAAAATTATCATTATTGAAAGAAATAGATAAATTTTTAAGGAAATTATCGTCAATGAAGAAATCATTTATTACTAATGGCAAGAAATAAATATTTGTGGTTGCAGTGTCATTAATGAATTATTGGTTAAACACATCCATGGTTGATGTAATTATAAATGAAATAATGTCCAGATCCATTAAAGGCACTCATGATTTCTGAGCCTCGGCCTGTGCAACAAAGAAGTTAGCTTTGTTCTTGAAATCCGCCTTCCGCACCTTTTTCTCCTCTGCCTCTTTCTTCCTTTGTTCTTGCTCTTCTTTAATCTCCTCTTCAAACTTCTTACCATGAGTCTGCGCTTCTATCTGTAATTAAACCAGAAATTCAAATCATGGTGAAAATATGAGCCGCATCACAACAAAACCAACATAATGGGTTTGCCACCAGCATGGATCCAGATCGGCCTGCGCATCCGCACAGTCTGATCAGGATCCATGCTGTTCGCTTACAAACTCTATTATAAATAGAGAAACTGATAGCGAACAGCATGGATCCTGATCAGACTGCGCGGTGCGCATGCAGGTCTGCATCCATGCTGTTCGCAAACCCATTGTGTTGGTTTTGTCATGACGCGGCTCAAATCATGGTGAAATTATAAATATCACAGTATATAAACAAGTCTTCTTGCTGTTATTGCAAGAAAGGTACAAGTTAAAATTAGGGATGGCAACGAATACAAAAATCAATACTCAAGTACTCGGTCAATTTTCCGATCGAGTACTCGGTTACTCGGATGATTTCCAGTGATTTTCAAAGTTTATTTCACAGTATCAACACCGTCCGCATGCTACTTTTGTTTTCTATTTAAATTCATAGAATTCGTAACTAGGACTGCACGGGAGACAAATTAATTAAAATTAATTCAACAACATTATATTTTACAACGTTTTAATAAATGCAATATAAAGTTTAAAACATGTAATACAGTTCATATATCTTTTTTCATCTTGAAATAATATAGACTGATCAGCGGCAACAAAAGTTTAAAAGGGTCTAAATACTAGTTACCTTTATCCCTACATTCATAATAGCAATCGGCCCTTTGTTGTTCTCAAAATAGTTACTTCTGCTACAAACTGTTACACAATTAAAGGTAATTAAGTATCATAAGAGGCTGGATGACATAAGTGACACAGGTGCGCGTGTCAAACTGTTGATCGCCTCGTTAAATTTATGATTTTCGCACCTCTGCTAGGATGTTTTGATTGCATTGAACAGGTGTTTATGAAGATGTCTGCACATCTCCGAATTTCTGAACTAATTGGACACACCAATCTTTCTAAATCGTTAAAAATATAAATTATATATTTATTCCGAGTAATCGAATATCAATTTTCGGACGTTTGATCGAGTACTCAGTTAACCGGTTACTCGTTGCCATCCCTAGTTAAAATATATAGGCTCCCAAGTAAGGTACAGTGATCGGAAGTAACATGTGCTTTTACTGGCAAGTCAGGGTACAAAATTGAATTATATATGCTCACAAGACAGGGTATAGTGATTTTGTTTATATACTGTGAATATAGATAAAGTGTTATCAATATGTAACTATTCTGGAATTTAAGAGAGTGCTATCTACATGTACATGTACTACTTAAGTGTTGTTCTGCATTATTTGTATTTGAAACAGGGAGTAAAAAAACAGTGTTTATAAGTACTGTGCCGCTATGATAATGTGAGAGTGACGTTGCATTTTTTTGTGTACACAAAAGTTTACAATCTTTATCTGAATAGGTAAAACAGGGTTTTTAGAAGCGAATATAGTACAAGATAAAAATCAGAATTTTAAATGTCTTGATGGCAAAGTTGGTAAAGTCATTGGGATGCAATACAAATAAAAATTTTCACGAGTTCGAGCCTCACAAGTTGTTTAACTTTTTCTTTTCTTTTTGTTTCCCCATTTATCAATTTTACTGAAGATGCAAATGAATCAGAAAATACGCTAACAGTTGGTCAATTTATCGATATTTTAATTTATATAGCAAGCCTGTGCGACTAAACATAATAAACACAATATGATAACTGTTTTACACCGTAATAGTGGACTTGACCGCGGCGTCACTAAATAATTATCCTAAATGTATAGTAATTCACAATCTTACTTCAGGTATAAACAGACAAACACACAAACCATCAGTTTCATATTAGCTAGTTAACTAAATGAAATGATATTTATTAAATTAATAGAGGTGAGTGATAGTAATTTTAACCATTTTCACCATAAAGTTTTATGTTGCAGCACCATTAAATAAATCCTACATAATTTTTGCACAAGGAACAAAAATCCTACTTTTACAAGTATCGCCAGTAAGAAAAACCCTATTTTTTCAAGTATTGCTGATTCAAAAAAAATCTTAAGAAGCAACTCATTTTGTTGTATATTGTTGTATATAGAGGATATTGAATGAGTGTAAGTTCAGTACTGAATTTATTGCACAAGTTGAATAAATTTATATTATGGGAGCCTCTGGCGAGCATAATATTATTTTATTCAACGAGTGCAATAAATTCAGTAATGAATTTACACGAATTTAATATTCTATTTATCACATACCCAAAATAAAGACCATTTAAAGTGAAATAAGTCATTTTTCATTGACACGCCTATAGTATAACACTAACATTTGGCGCATCTTTACACTATGTTTGTATAACGCTAATGACGTCACGTCAAAATATATGCACGGCCGTGCAATACCATATTTACGGAGTCGCAAAATCGGCACGGGTGTGTGATAAGTACCAATTACAAAACAAAAGAAAATTCAAAAATACAGGTAGCCTTGTAAATTTTGATCATTAGCTTTACAAATCAAGCCATAAAAATAAATTTTGAAGTTTGTTGTGAAGTGCAAGTTATCATACAAGTTACAACCATCTTGCATCAAGCACTAGTACTATTCCTTCAATCAAGTTCTAGCAGTAATAATGACACAAACCTTTGCAGTAAAGAAATTTTTGGCGCCTTTAACTCCTTCTTTATCTACATCTATCTCTGTAACATTTCTGTATAGCTCACACAACCCACTGTCCTCTTCTAGATCACCTGCAGCTGCTTTACGGAATATCAACAGAAACTGAAATAAGACAAAAGTAAAGAATGTAATCAGACAAAAGAAGACATATTAGCAGTAAAAACCTCGAGGAAAGAATAAGAGATCCTACATGTAACTTTGCTCACCTAAGAAAATCTTTTTCTATTTTTAGCTTAGCTTGCTATCTTGTTCAGCATGTTATATTGATTTTAATTATTTTTTTGTACAGTAAATATCATATGGATCATTTCTTATATAAATTTTTTTATCAAAATCTGCATGATGGTTCAGATTCAAAAGACAAGTTTGTTCAGCAAAATATCTTTCCTTTATTGTTTCAGAATGATATATACAAGAGCGATCAGTGATCACATGTGTCGCCTCATGATGGCCAATTTCATGTTGGGACAAGTTTTGTGACAGACGGACAGACAGAAGGACAGTGCACAACTATACTTGGTACTGATCATTCCTGTAAAGTTTGGATAAAATTGCACCAATAGTTAATGAGGAGTAGTCTGGACAAGCGTATGTGTACCTGGCAACACACCGAAAAAAACACCTATTTATCAAAAGTCCATAACTCGGCCAAAAATCATTCAACAGGAAAACCTGTGAAATGTGTGCAAGGACTTGAGCTAAGATCAATCCTGTAAAGTTTCATTGAAATTGCATTAGTGGTACAAGAGAGGTAGTCCGGACAAACATTAAAAATAAAAATTATTAAAGGGCCATAACTCTGACAAAAATCATTGAACCGGAAAATGCTGACAATATGCACAGCTAGACTTGGTACTGATCATTCCTGTAAAGTTTGGATGAAATTGCACCAGTAGATTATGAGGAGTAGTCCGGACAAGCTTTTGTGTATCTGGCAACACACAGAAAAAAACACCTTTTTATCAAAGGGCCATAACTCGGCCAAAAAATCATTCAACCGGAAAACCCGTGCAATATGCCCAAGGACTTGAGCTACAGATCAATCCTGTAAAGTTTCATTGAAATTGCATTAGTGGTATAAGAGAAGTTGTCAGACAAACTTTAAAAATAACAAGAGCTGTCAGAAGGACAGCGCGCTCGACTTTTTTAGTGCTTGCCTATAAAACAAAACTTTGACAGTTAAGGGCACACAAGACTTTAACTAGGAATTTCTAAGTACAAATCAAGAAACATTTTCACAGAGTTATCTTCTCTTGCTTACAGATAGGTCTCATGATGGCACATAAGAACTCCAACTTCCAAAGTAATATCTCAAATGGTTAAGTCAACAAGTGGACAAGAATGAAAATCTTAACTGAGTTTCTAAGTCAAAAAGGGCCATAATTCAAATAAAATCCTTAACAGAATTACCTTCTCCTGCCCATGTTTTGGGACCATGATGGTAAACAAGTATTCCAACTTTCAAATTAATATCTCAAACAGTTCAGTCAAAAAGTGGACTGGTACTAAAAACTTAACCAAGATTCTAAGTCGATAAAAGGCCTTAATTTTTAAAACAAATCCTTGACAGAGTTACCTTCTCTTGCGTACAGATGGGGGTAATGATGTGAAATAGCATTAAAAGTTTCAAAGCAATATCTCAAAGGGTTAAGGCAATAAGTGGATTTTACCCATATTCAATGTATTTTCTAAGTCAAAAAGGGGCATAATTCTGTCAAAAACCTTGACAGAGTTATGTCCTCTTGTCTGTTGATGAAGGTCGTGATGGTAAACAAGTATGGTCAGTTTCAAAGCAATACCTCCAATGGTTTTGAAATAAAGTGAGGTGGTACAAAAAACTTAACCAAGCTCAATACACTTTCTAAGTCAAAAAAGGGCCATAATTCTGTCAAAAACCTTGACAGAGTTATGTACTCTTGTCTGTAGATGGAGGTTATGATGGTGAACAAGTATGGTAAGTTTCAAAGCCATACTTGTAATACTTCTGAAATAAAGTGGGGTGGTACGAAAAACTTAACCAAGGTGTGACGCCAACGCCGACGCTAACGCCGACGCCGGGGCGAGTAGGATAGCTCCCCTTTTCATAGAAAAGTCGAGCTAAAAATTATTAAAGGGCCATAACTCTGACAAAAATCATTGAACCGGAAAATGCTGACAATATGCACAACTATACTTGATACTGATCATTCCTGTAAAGTTTGGATGAAATTGCATCAGTAGTTTATGAGGAGTAGTCCGGACAAGTTTTGTGACGGACGGACAGACGAAGGAGAAGTGATCCCTATATGTCGCCACTACTCCGTAGAGGCGACACAAAAATCAGTAGGCTGCAGATAAGTAATTATTGAGTATGATCTGTTTTCTGAACAATATCTATATACATGTTAAGCACTGTTGGCCACCTTGTCCAAAAGGTCTGTTCTTCACATATCATTACTTTACCACTACGGAAGAGTATGTTTCAATAGAAACTTGCATAACAACTCAGCTACGGATATTATCTAATACTTTACTATATTTAATGCTGATTTTCTAATGTTTTGTTCACAGACTGAAATGATTGAAAATTTTTTAATGGGAATATAACCAAGGATTACTTCTGAAGTTTTATCAAAATCTGCACATTGGCTAAATAAATATGTACTTGTTTCTATTTTGAGCTCTGATGGATAATCTTGTTTAGCTTCCGAATCACTTTTGAGTTTCATTAAAATCTGCCCTGTGATTAAGACCAATTATGCCTCAGAAATGCTTTTAATTCTATTTCTCAAAAGCTTTTTATATTTTGGTGTCCTTTCTAGTATCTAAAATGTTACTCATTGACCAATTACCTGAACCATCTTTTTTCAAAAAGTACAGTTATAGTGAACTAGTACATGTATATTGTATGGAAGTCAAATACTACTTTGTTTACATTTTGCTACTTTAGTGACAAATTATATCACATCTATCGCTACTTTCTTGAGGTAACAACCATCTAACATTCTCTAAAACCATTATGTAAACATTGAAAGATTCATGTCTGCCCCTTCTTAAATTAAAGAAGTAAATAAACTGTTTATGAAGCATAATGTGCCTTTAGGGAGATGTCATTTAAATTTTTTTTTCATTTTTCTTTGTTTTTTTTCTTGATGTGGAAGCTACATGTATTTTGTTCAGTTGACTGAAACAATGTTAGGTAAAGTCTATGAGAGGATTATTCATGTCTTCTTAGATAACAAAAGGTTAATAAGTAATTTAGTAATACATGTACGGGGGCACAGAACTTTTGGCCATTGATAGAATTACTGTAATGAAGAAAAACATTTTATGGGCAGTCACAGTGACAGTCAATGTTTTTATGAACTGATCAAAGTGTCACCTGTCACATGTATGAATATATACTTGGTCTACAATGATGACTAATCTGTAAGCTATGTATAAAGTGACATTATGCCCATCATAGTATGAATGGTCAGTGAACACGTAATAATCAAAATAACTTGACCTTTTGCCATAATTGTGTTCAATTCTATATTTTACTATGAAAAAAAAAATATATATGGAAATTTCTATAAATATCTTTCAGAATGTATCAGTAATGTTGAATTCTTTAAAAAAGCATTTTTTTATAATTTTTGCCATTTTAATATTGTACCTTAAACATACTTCATTATCAATTATTAGTCAATAACAATTTTACATGTAACAGTCAATCTTTTTGAAATAAAATTACTCATTCTGATTTCAACTCAACATGATACAAAAAAAATTAACTGTATGTCATTTGTAGGAGGGGTCCATTTGCCTGTTAAGGCACAGAACCTCAAACCCCCATGATGACTAAAGTTTCCATTTAGCAACCTGTACACACAAATAAATATTTATGATAATATTACCTCACGGAAGCTGATTTTACCATCATTGTCTTCATCTACTTCTTTGATCATAGCTTTTAGTGAGAGATGAGTTTGTGGAGCCTTCAATTGTTCCATCATGTATTTCAACTCTTCAAAGTCAATAAACTTATCCCCTGATGTGTCATACCTAAAAAATAAACATTTTATTTGAGTTTATTTATACTCATCACTAGTTGCCCATATGGGTGAGTCCTCCAGCTGAAGAATATTAAGTCATTTAAATTTTGGAGGCGAGTGCAAGATACAGATACAGAAATATATATCCCAATTCCAGGAGCTTCTCCTGGTCCTTTTGCGTGCAAAGTGTTTAAGCACTCATTTTTTTACTTATGAAAATATTTTTGAAATTTTAAAAAAAATAATCTAGAGCTGCTTTGATAAAAATCATTCATATTATATTCTTAAATACCCATTAAACCTCGAAAATGGTAATAATTAAAAAAAAACACACATTTTCAAAAGTTTTTTTCTTTCTTTTATTTTTTACGTTCTGTTACAATTTCCAAAATGTTATTCACTGGCCATATAGCAGAGCCAATTTTTGCTTCCTTTGCATTTTGGGAATAAATATCTGGGCTTTTTTTCCTTCTAAAGCAGGGGCCATTATAGGGCTGATTCTCCAAAGAAAAATTCTTTAAAATCATGCAGTTTTCCCCATAAATTGAATTTATATCAAGTTTTTTTCTTCCCCATTTGCAAATATATTGTGTAATTTTCCCCCAAAATTAAGGGCAGGGCTGCTTCCCCAACCTGTGAAAAAAAGCCCTGAATATGCATGCAGAAGGAACTAGATGCTTGGCCATTTCCTACCAGTATAAAAATATATATAGAAAGCTAACCAAAGTCTTAAACATCAAGCCAGATACTATCCAGATTCATTGGACCAAAAATTTGTGTATATACATTTTGGAGTCTGCAGTCTTTATATTATACGGCTAGATGGTTTTTTTTTATTTTTGTTAATTATAAAGACATTGTGTAAAAACGTTAAAAGATTACTGACTGTTTATAGAGCAGTCTAAACATTTATGCACCATTACCTAGTCTATTGCATTTAAAAACCAACCACTTGTATGGAACATTAGAGTAAAATGTGTACATCTATATACACATATGATAAATATATTGTTTAACAAGAGGTTCTTGCTAGGAGGAAGTGCCTGATGTCTGAAGTTAAATTGATTTATCGTATAAGTACCTAATCTCACACCCAACCTATTCTCAAACCTTTCATTCATGTGCTGTTCTTTTTTTACTAGAAGTGACTATGATGTCCTGAACTTGTGTGCATAAAAGCTTAGTTTCTGACAGACATGTCTGCTGATGTCAAATGAAAACAGTGCATAGGAACAAATATTTACATAACATATTTTATTACTTAGCGTAATTTCATACAAATTGCTATTACCTTTGTAAGTCCCATAAATACACCATTAACAATTTGTGAAAATGAATATTATAGACAAAAATATCTTAAAGCAGGTAACTGCATTGTGTAGGGTACTTCATTGTCATGTGATAGTCATATAACAATCACTTCATTGGCTAAACTAAACAGTAGAATTTTAGAGATACTTGAAGGGGTTTGAGATTAGGTTCTTTATTTTAAGAGGCCATGTTAGTTTTAAAACAGAGGGTTGTGCTTTTCCAAGATGGAAATAGAGCTTTTTTAATAGTTGAATTTCAGTCAAATTTTACAGAAATGTTACATAAAGATTAAAGTGTACATATGTAAAGAATTTTTATATAGATATATTTTTATTTACATTAAAAGACCTCTTGAATGCTTAGAGGTTTGAGAACTGGTTAGTCCACGATAATCCCTAAAGAGTAAGGTTACTGAAGTTTTTACTGGTAAACAAAGTTGTATACATTGGATAAAGCACAATGACTTACTTTTTAAATGTCTTTTGGAAATCCTGAATTTGCTTTCGTGAAAACTCTTTAAACTCTGTGTATGGATTGAACACTGTACTTTGAGGCGACAGACTTCCTTCTTCAACCCCTTCATTTATGTTCACCCTTCTTTCCAACTTTTTTGCAAGCTCGTCTGTAGCCATATTTGGAAGATCTACTTGTAGAATTTTTCCTGAAATTAAAAATAAGTAAATATTAAGGAGTAGAGAAGATTAAATCAAATATTAAAACTATTTTCGCCGTGACTTACGTTCCAATTTCCTGGTTCAAAGCAATCGCGTTCGTGTTCGAAGGGAAATCCCGTATCACGTGACAATTCCGGAAGTAAATTTTGGAAAAACACCTATATCACGTGACATGTTTCGTTCGGTGGGAATTACGAAGTGTATTTCGATGTTTTTAAGCGGTTTTTAAAGGGTAATTACACGTGTTTTAAGGTAAAGCAACGTTTCGTATAGTCTATTTATCATTTTTCTTGAAATTACAAAAAGTGTAAGTTCAATAGCCTTACTGGTTTTCCACTAACTTGAATTAACATATTTTTTTTCTTTATAGTAAATGATTTGTACCCATACCATTTCGTACTTAAAATTTTATGCAAAATAGTTTACTAGCCAACCAAAATTCCTTCAACTATTCAAGGGCAAACTAATAGAAATGGTTATAAACTGCATACGTGTGAACTCTTCCACTTTTAGCCGGAGACTTCCTTTTCGCAGGCCCGTCGTCACGATTTTGTGATTGGTGCGGCCAATTTGATTGGTTTTAGGTAGAATCTAGAGGGGTACGGGGGCATGCTCCTCCGGAAAAATTTTTTATTCTAGGATGCTCTCAGGGGCGTTTTCCCGTATATTTGACACAGTTTACAGCCTGCAGCTGTACATGTTATAGTAATATGTCAATGTTTTTTTACAGATTTAAGTGCGTGATAAGTTTAAGGGTGAAATTTAATTAAGGTTCGCATGACAGACGGACAGGTGTACATAAAAGATGAATACATGTAATTGATATTTGGCAAATGAAAAATAAACAATACCTGATGTCATTTTAATTCTTTAGAAATTAGATGCATTTTTATCTGATTGATTGGTTTAATGGTTTTAGGTAGAATCTAGTGGGGTAAGGGGGCATGCTCCTCCGGATATATTTTTATTCTAGGATGCTCTCCTAGAGAATAAAAGAAATATTACAGTAGGTGGATCATTGTTTAGCATAAATCACACAATGGTATAAGCTTAAATAACAATCAATAACATGATGGAAGAATAGCACATTACGAGTCAACAATAACCACTTTTTGTTTTGCAGTAACTTGTATTTTGTTAACAATAATCTTACACAACACAGAGTCTCATTTTATGTAAATTTTCCAAAAACACATCGCCGTCGTTCTCTGGTAGTAATGAATTCATCGGCAATTACATGTAAGTTGAGTGGATCTGTCCAGTTAACACCATTAGATTGTTCAATCGTACTAGAGACATTGTCGATCTCAGGTATGTTTTAATTCTTCTGAACGCCGAGAATGTCCTTTCACTGGTAGCATTAGTAGCAGGCATTGCTAACAAAATCTTTACAGGGCTCTCGATTGACACGGGGATCCGGGTTTTGACTAGTGAAAATCAGGAAATGCACAAATTTGACACGTGATAAAATCTGCCCAAGAGTCAATTTGCCACATGGGATTTTCAGGTATGCAATAATAATTAATACCTAAACTCCACCTCTAATTACCTATCAGATCCTACATATGTTCAAACAGTCTGTGCGAAAGTCTGTCGGTCTTCGGACCTAGCCTACTAAAAATCAGGAGGGCCACAACACAACGACCTCAGAGAACAGTGCTCGTTCTAGCACCGACTGTTTTGAAGCAAATTTCAAAATGTCGGGTAGAGTAACAGTACTATTTTCTGATTTGTCAAAATGTGAACGTAGCAGCTGAAGCTTCACATCTAAGAGGATTTAACTCAATACAGGATAAGAGCAGTACCTCTAGACGCTTGCAGAAATCATGATCACAAAATAGACAAATATCGTTTTTTTCGCCGATTTTTACATTTTTCATTCATTATCATACACAAATCGGTGAGAAAAGATGAATTAGACATATTAAAGTTCATTCCGTTGGGTGAAAAGGCAAGATGTTAGCATTTTATGATTGAAGCGCCTTGCCCGGTATATACCGGAATACTTTATTTAGTGTGGTGCTCCAATCCTTATTTTAGTCTCACACCATCTAAGATGTCTCGGTTAATATCGTTACCACAGAAATCACAAACAAAACCAAGTTCTCTTGTGGACTCGTTCTTCAAAGGTTGTACGGCCTTTATAAGTAAATTCTCCACGTTTTGAAGTATGCGATATCCCAGTTGGTCAAATCTCTCTTTAACACTGGCGTCATTATGGCAAGATTGATTGCTTCAAAGTACTTAGGCCGGAACACTTCCTGCACTGTAACGGGATAGTAGCCAACACCGTGCCCCATCTCGAATCGTGTGGGCGCCTTTCTCTTCCGCGTAACATTTGTATCGTTAACACCGATGAGATCACTCTCACTTTGAAGTTTAATCCATAAAGAATCAAAACTGTAGTCTGATCTCATGTCTATCAAACTATCTAGAGTCCGTTTTGCTAGCCGCTGACCCTCTGATGCTTACAATGAAACTTGTTGATGAGATTTTCTGAGGTTGTCTGTCAATGCTAGGATGTTGTGTGCACTGAAAAAATACTCGAACTTGACTTCGTAGGACCCCTACATATACCTGGTCAATTAATTGTGTCCATTTGTTTCTTCGCGTCATGTTTGTATATTACCGCGCATTGCATAAGGAGCCAGTTAAGTGTCAAATTGCTAATCAGCGATGCCTTGTTTTTTTTTTTTTTGTTTTACTCAATTTTGGCCAAAATATTGGTCCGGCCAAGGCCCGACCGGCCGGACCATCGACGACGGCCTTGTTTTGGGAGGCTCCCATTTTCTGCAGGAGGTGGCTAGCAGTACAGGCCCGTATGGCTAGCCAAAAGTTCTAGCCATATGTGAGTCATGTACGACTAGCCAGGACACACTGTATTGTCTAGCCGTACAACACTTTTCAAAATTTAATGAAAGTCCAAAATGCATACATGTTATTTTGTGTCTTTAAACAAACATTTTAACCAAGTCCCCGCATTTGCCCTCATGTGTTCACTTTAATAAAGATGCTCTGCCATTTTGTAAAAAAAAAATGAATACAAAGGTAATGCAAGCGTTGTAATCTTGATAAAAGTGTCAAAGTTGCATGTTACAAGTTATAACATCGTTGTTGTTTTTCATGCTTATGATTTGTTGTTTTATTTGAATGAAAGATGAATTATTAAATTATTCTTGTTAATCAAATAAATAATCATAATGGCAAAAGAAGCTTTTTCATAACGGCATGATCGGAGTGGAATAAATAAAAAGAACATTGAAAAAAAAACGGAGAAAAGCAAAAACCAATTGTATAATTTTTAAATGCAGTTGATAGATATCAGACATAAAAGCACAATCAATTAGCCTTAATTAACCCATTACTTCATGAGCATTTTGTGAAAAATGGCTGTTTTCATTGAAAAGTCTCCCGTTACAAGTTCAAATTGCTATAATACTATAAAAACTGCTTCAACACTAATCAAACTTGGCACAAATGTTGACTGGACCATTGCCCTTGAAACAACATGTTCAGGCTTAAATTTTCTGTTACCATGGCAACAAGGGGACATCTCAAAATTGCCAAAAATCACTATTTTGCGTTGATTTTTTCCATCAAAACTGGTTTAAAATTGGCCTTGGCTATAAAGGTGAGCGATTTCATTCAGAATCTTGTAATAACCACTAACTTTCACTGCTTTCACACAAATAACAGTCTGTCCTCAGGTGAGTGCTTTTGGGCCAACGGTCGGACCATTGGCATTTGATCTTCATAAAACTTTGTCAGAATGGTTACATGTACGTGTGAAAATAATTTAAATATTTCAGATGAGTTTAAACTAAAGATGTGTTGATAGGTTTACACATCAAAATTAAACAAAAATATTATTAACTCTATTTAGAGACGAAGAAAAACCTTGTTAAAATCTTTTGACATTTTATTAGACATGACTTGATATATTATTCCAAGATAAGTGTACCATTTAATGTAGGCCTGAACCAGACTGGCCTATTGTGTGCATGTTTTCAGATCATTCCCTTGCCAAGTTTTCTCAAAATATTTAAATTTCATTATGCAAAATGATCCCAAAATCAGGTTAAATTAATAAATGCATTACCTATCAATTTTCAATTTAATTCCGAGTATATAGACGATATTCAAGTTTTTTCTATAAATACACGATTTATTTTCATCCAGTGGTATGAAAATAATATTTCATGAGTGGCGGTAGCCACGAGTGAAATATGGTAATTTTCATGCCACAAGATGGAAATAACTCGTGTATTTATAGAAAAAAACTTGAATTTTCTGTTTATTATATACATTTTTCTCTTTTTTGACACTAAAATTTGAAAGACATTCCCTTAAATTTTGTGTACTGGCAGAATTTAAAAGAAAGTAGTCTGGCAAGAAACCAGTGAAAATATGGAAAATATGTTTCACTACAGTGAAAAATAAATTTTTACAGTGAAAATACGGAAAATGAAAATATGCATTTTATTTCATCAATATTTCTCAATATTTCATTTATAAGTATATAATAAATTTCTTTATTACCCATTGCAGTTTTTTTTATTTTATAAGTGCTTCCCTTGATTTTCAAATTTAATGTTTTTAGGCTTTTTGACCTTAGGGGAGGTCACATTATTTATTTGATATTCATCAAGAGTTAGAGTATAACATTTGAAATAAAGGGCAATTCATGTTATATGTACAATAAATATTTTTTCTATTAAATAACAGATTTAAGTGAAGTTTATATGCATTTTTTACCAAAGAGCTATAAATTTAAGTGGAGTGGAAGCTATGGCGTCATACATAAAATCTGTTATCAGGCAGGTTCACGTTTTTACGTGATTTTTCGAGACCACCAGTCCTTATACAGGAGAAATTTTACCGATACTTATATATATGTATGCTGCCATGTTATCTAAATTTTGTTGAGCTAATCAAAGAACAAGTTGCAAAAATGCATAAAAAGTAGTAAAGACCAAGAAGATATAAATAATTCTCTGTAATGGATAAAAATGTAAATAAAGTTGGTTAATTATGTAAAACAAGATTGTGAAAAAAAGATCATGTAAAGAATTGTGGGTCAGAATTTGAAATTTTTCTAATTTTAGAATTTCTTATCCCTGTGTAATAATAGTCTCCA